CCCAATTTGGACAGTTTCACTTAGGGGTGTACCACTTGTGTTGCCAGCGGTTTAGACATTGATGGCTATGTGCTGAGTTATTTTGAGGGGAGAGCAAATTTACACTGTTATACAAGCTGTATACTCACTACTTTACATTGTAGCAAAGTGTCATTTCTTCAGGGTTGTCACATGAAAAGATATAATAAAATATTTACAAAATGTGAGGGGTGTACTCATTTCTGTGATATATTGTATATAAAACCAGTGGAATAATGCTGGGATTTAATTTGGGATAGTGAACAATGATGTGCAATTGAATTTAGGATGGTAAAGTTTACTGGAAAAAAAGATTGGGAGCCATTATCTATAATATGTCCCTCTTAACTGCATAACTGTCCTGAATATAGCAAATTCAGCATTTGCTAATGTTTAAGTGCCATCTTGCTCTCCCATGCTGACCTTTCTATTTCAGATTATTTCAGTTGGTTTTAAGCAATTGTATTTCTGTTGTATCATTCATACCAGCTTTCCCTAATATGGTGCCTGCCAAATGGTTTGGACTCCCATCAGCCAGCAATAGCCAATTCTCAGGAACGCTGAGACACCTGGGAAAGCTGCTTATTACCTTGTTCTTCAAAAAGCATTTTTCCAGGGTGCCTGTGTCTATAGTTCTCTTTACATATGCTTCTGAAGTTATATTTTACAGTTTTTACATATTTTCTAGGTAGTGAGGTGTAAACACCACCAATATAGTAAAGTAAAAACAAAGAAAGACAAGTAATTATGCATCTTGCAAAGTCATCCTAGAGAAAATTCCTACTGGACAAATCCATAATTATATAAATATAAAAGCATACTAACCATTACCACAAGGTTTGCCAAACATTATAAAACTGTGCTTACTTTCTAAAGATTTTATTTATTATATTTATATCCCACCTTCCTCCCAACTGTGGAACTGTGGAAGGTGGCTAACATGTGGTTCCCAGGTGGTCTCCACTACAAGATCAGGCTAGCCCCAAGCCTGCATGGCTTCAACATGGAGGATGCCTTAAGTACCTTCAAACCATACTCTGAGAATTTATTTACTTATTTAAGGCATTTCTATACTGTTGGATTAGACAAACTCTCAGAACAGTACAGGATATACTTAAACATCTAATATCAATTTAAAAATTCAAAACAAACCTACCTTTCATAAAATATCCACATGGCAATAAAATCAACAGTCGTATAATAATCCAGACAAGACAGAGGACCTTTTGGTAGGTGGTTCAGGTTTTCAGGTAAGTGATTTTGGCCCTGTCCTGGATGGGGTTGCACTCCCTCTAAAGGACAGGTTCTGCAGCATGGGAGTGCTCCTCGACCCGGAGCTGTCCCTGGAGGCCCAGGTGGCAGCGGTGGCGAGGAGCACTTTCCTTCAGCTTCGGCTGATCCACCAGCTGCATCCTTACCTGGATGAGCATTGCCTAGCAACGGTGACACATGCTCTGGTAACCTCCCAGTTGGACTATTGTAACATGCTGTATGTGGGGCTGCCCTTAAAGATGGTCCAGAACACAGCCGCCAGTTATAGTCTCATATAACACAGATCCTCTATCAGCTTCACTGGCTTCCAATTAGAGCCCGGGCTCAATTTAAGATGCTGGTATTGACCTATAAAGCCCTAAATGGCTTAGGACCAAGATACCTAGAGGAATGTCTTTTTCCCTTCATGCCCACCCATCCCTTAAGATCTGCAGCAAAGGCCCTGCTCCAGGGACCCTCCTTGAAGATTAGGAGAGAACATACTCGGAGGAGGGCCTTCTCTGCAGTGGCACTGACTATGGAATGCGCTCCCCAGAGAGGTCCGCCTGGCGCCAACATTATATTCTTTTCGGTGCCAGGTCAAGACTTTTTATTTTTCTGTAATTTTAATGTTTAATATTTTAACTATGTTTTAGGCTCAAATTGTGGATTATTTTGTATTATTTGGGTTTATATGTATTTACAGGATTTTGACTTGTAAACCATCCAGAGACTCACAATGTATTGGATGGGGTAAAAATACCCAAATATAAATGAATAAATGAATAAAATAAGAGGCATAAATAATATTACATTCTCTTTCTTCCCTAAAATTCATTATGTACACTTGTCCATCTCCAGCAATCTAATTTCTTCCCCTGGCCCAGTTTTCTCACCTCTTCAGTTACTACATATTGTTTGTGCCATTGCACCTTCTAGCACCCATTTCTGAGGTAATTTGCTTTGCAGTAGTTAAACTCTTTTACCTAGTGGGCTCATGAGTCACTATGAGAACTGTTCTAGTTTAGAAAATATGAGCCCTATAGTCTGAGCAGATACCACATTATGATCAGTTCAGAAGGATTTGCTTTAAGTTCCACAGTCCTTACTCACTGCTTCCCTGTTTACCTGAATGTGCTGACTCAGGAGTAGATCGGTAACTCTGTGTTGGTGAACGTGGAGAAAGGTTGTGAGTAGGTGAACCAGGAACACTTTCCCCAGATGACAAAGAACGGTTGAGAGAAGATAAACTCCTGCTGGTGTGAAGCAGAGAAGCCTGCTTGGTGATCTTCCTGAACAAAGAGCTCTTCTTCTTACTGGAAAAGTGAAATGATAGCTATTATTGTTAAGAATAAAAAGAATCAGGATCAAATCCAAAAAGTGCCCATCCCTGAACAAAATGAGTCGTCCATTTGTAGAAGAGCCCCTTCCATTAGTGGCTGAAGCTTGGAACCCATGAAAGCGGAAAGAGGAAAGTGTCAGGTATTTCTGATTCTCCCTTCTCTCTGCAGCCAGTTATGTCACTTTCCATACTGCTCTAAGGTATCCGCAAACCCTCTGGAACAGAATTTCAGAGGATGCATGGGGAGGAGAGACCTGACAGAATTTCATCCAGAGAATTCCATTTATGAAACACCAGATTCTATCTATAATTTTCTAAATTGTTATATTTCACTGATTTCATATTTTTGTGACATAAAACCATGCATTGGCAAAAATAAATTTCCATAAATTATTTTGCAACTGTTATAGGCCCACAAGTTTATTTTTCAACTAACCTTTCCTGCCCATCTTTTGTTTTGCTTTTCTTGTTCCTCCTAGCCATCTTTGATTTATAACTGGCCTTCCGAGCTGGTCCCACTTTGATTGATGTGTTTTCAAAAGGTGTAGTAGATATGGACACTTTATTCCCGCTCTGCCAGGAGAAAAACACATATTATAGTCCCTTTTAATTCATCTCTTTATCCCTTCAGAGTACTTTGTGACTGCTAGTTGTTAAGGCAAGAGAAAATACCAGTCTATTACTGGCTGTCTTAAATGCCCCTGGTTAATTCTTTTTTCCTCCCATCCAGTATTTATTTTGCCTTCATAAAATGCTGCTAGAGGGGCTTCTTGAATCAGACCTGTCCCACTGAATAAACATGATTTTTATAGTTGAATGACAACTGTAGAGAGCACTAATGTTTTGATCTTTCATTGATCAGTTTAAACTTTGTAAGGTACTCAGAAGGCAATCATGTAACATAGTATGTATCTACCACCAGCCAATTCATGCTAGAAATTCTGTCTAGCAGTACTTCCAACTTCAGCATTGCTACCTGAAATATTTTCGGCATTTCTTCTTTTTCTAAAGAACATCAAACCACAAATGGAGCAGACAGTGGGAGTATTTATTCAAATTACTTTCCAAGTAATTATTCAGGTAATTGGCTCAAGTTGTATTTACAGAAGTATATTTCTCAGGCAAGTTTCCACTGTCACATGGACTCTGTGGCCAGGGTCAAAACAGTGCACAGGAAGGAATGCTGCCTTTAGCTATCTGTCATATCAGGGCACCATACATGAGTGTGGAACTTATGTAGCCATATAACAGAAAGTATATGTCAGTTATATGTCTTTTTTGAGTGAGCCAAATTACAATCACTAGGCTAGCTGGATAGAGCATTTTCCCAGCAACAAGATTATTGCTGTTTGAATAATAGCAAAATAGAATATCCCAGAATCAGAAAGGAAACAGACTGAAGTCCCACATAGTAGTAAAGATTTGCTGTCCCAGAAACTTATGGCATGGACATCAAGATGAAACTTTTTTTTAAAGTTACAGATAAATTAGAGATAAGGAATAATACTGCTTAAACACCAGAATAATATTTCCGTAACTATTGACACAATATTTATATTGCACTAATTCTACTATGAATAGTTTCTGCTGATGTGCATTTCATTTTTGCAGCATAAAATACTAGGTTCTGTGTGACAGAAACTTTATAAAAGTGCAAAACTCTTCCCTTTCAGCCTATATTATTGACACATTTACCTTCTCTTTCAAAACAAAGTTCCAAGGCAGTTTACAACACACTAAAACAATTTAATAGATAGTACCCTAAAAAGGAGTCAAGAAACACAGGAAATACTCTAAAACTCATAGCAAAGATACAATAAAATAAGTTAAAGAGGCCTGAGAAAATAAAGAAGTCTCTGCCTGCCACCATAATGACATGACAGTCAGCACTAAATAAGCATTGCTTAGCATTTTATACCCAGGGTGCCACCACTGGGAAGGCAGTTTTCCTAGTAAATACCATCACATTGAAGCTGGTAAGAGTGCCCAAGGAAGGGCATCTGCGGAGAATGTCTGTGTTTTGCCAGGCATATGCAGAAGCAGTTGATCGTTCAGGTATCTTGGATTCAACTGTGAACAGCTCTAAAACTCAAAACCAGAACTTTGAATTGAGCCCAGAAATGGACTGCTGATAAAGCAACAGCATAATGCAATCATCGGTTTCAGTCCCATTAAACATTTTAGAAGCTCTATTTAAAAAAAAAAAACCAATTTCAAAATCTTCAAAGGTAATCCCACATATAATGCATACACGGGTCTATCTAGAGATTACCAGGCCATGTATAACTGTAGCTGATGTAAACAGGGTTACAACTGATATGCCAATCTTAGATGGTAAAGATGAGCTGTGCAACCTGTGTTTCCAGGGAGGAAGGTCAAGGAACATATGCAAGTTACTCAACATCTTTTTACTAAGCACTTAAGAATTTTACTCAGGCTTTACCTTCAGGACTAATTCCACCACTTCAGTATGAACTAATCCATGTACAGGTTCTCCATTCACATGTGTTATCAAGTCCCCTTCCCGCAGACCAGCTTCACTTGCAGGGCCACCTTCTTCTACATGCTGCCAATGACAACAAAAGGGAAACAAAGATTAATTTCAAAACCAGAATCCTCTGCCCACCTCAGTTCTACCTACAAAGCCCTCTTACAAGAAACTATACACTTCCGAACACATATGCTACAACTTGCTCTAATACTCATGGCTGGTTTATAATTCTAAAAAATAGAAAGAATTCCTCAGAGTCAGACCATAGGCTGATCTAGCCCACTGAACCAACTAGCTAAGAAGAAAATTGTTTTGGGGTGCTGGAGCCGAAGGGCTGCCAACCTGGCCCTTCACAGGTTGTATAAAGGGAGGGGCTGTGGCCACATCCCTGACATCACCTGATCTATGGCTAGAGAACTGGCTGAGGCTCTCCCTTTGGCTGGAGACTGGCTTCGTTGCCATGTAGGTTTTCCTCAGGCAGGAAAAGCATGTGCACAGCAATGCCACCCCAACTTAGACAGCAGAAGGAATACTTCAGCCACAACCTTGTCCAGGGCTGTATTATTCACAATACATCCTTTTCAATGGGAGAAGGAACAGTGAGAGGGAAGGCACTGATGAAGGTGGCATTACCTGTACCACATCTGCTTCACTGACATTGCTCAACTCAGGGGTCTCAAACTCGTGGCCCGCGGGCCAATTGCCGGGATGGGTGGGGCACGGGGGAGGGGCCCTGCAGCCTTCAAAGCACCGGCAGCGCCCGGGCCAGCCATGGGATGAGCGGCCCACCACCACCGTGGTGGTGGAATATTTGATGCGGCCCAGCCTCACCCAGACTCTACTTCCAGTGGCCCCCAGGTAAGTTGAGTTTGAGACCCCTGCTCTAACTGAAGCTGCAGGTGGCATGATCCTGCTGCTGTCTAGACTGGGCATGCTTTGCCTATGCCATATTTTCCTTCACAGGGAAATGTATTTCAGGTGACACACAGCATGTGAACAGATTCAGTGGGTGCTTGGAAGAGTGGCTCCTCTCAGCACCAGCCAAGTCCTCTGCTGGCCACATTCCCACTGTTACTTCTGATCTGTTATCAGAGATAAAAGCAGGGATTCCTCTGGACATTATTCACCCAAACAGGTGCAGGGGAATCCTTGCTTTTATCTCTGATTATAGATCAGAAATAACAGTGGAGATTCCATATTCTACAGGGTGGATGGGAAATCTCTGCAAGCCTGGTTAGTTCTGTAGGATGCTGGTTTCCCATCCCGTCTTGAAGGAGTTCCCTGGGATCTCAGGTAGATGCTTCTCCAAACCCTCCTATCTATGGATCTTTAACTGGTGGCATCAGAGATTGCACTTTTAGCTGAAAGTTATGTGGTATGTCAGTACCACTGAACTCTATTATGAATAATAATTTCTCCTCCAGGGCAAGTAGTTATAAACATTTATGAGTTGATATTGGCAAGCAACAATAAGCAACAACTAAAGCAGTTCAGTTTGAGGCATATGATCTGTGCTTTAGGGAAGCTGATCAAGGTTAAGTGGAATATTATTCTACTGCATATTATTATTGCATCACTGCTGGATTGAAATTATCTCCATTCAAATGAAGAAATCTTAAGTGATGTCTACAGGGAAATTGGGGCAGGCTTTTGATTCCTCTTCTCTTTTACCTTTGAGTCTCACACAATTAACAACTGAAAACATTCTTTGTGGGGAATGGCTATAGTAAACAACTATATGCAACTTCAAAAGGCACATCTATAAGACAGGCTGGCTATGGATGAAGGATAAACTGAAAGCAAATACATAACAACCCCTTGTATAACTCACAGGATGACTGAATTCTAAATCTCTAGTCAATTTAGTGGGGAGACAGTGATGCTTTAAGACATGTAATCAACTCCAAGCAGATGTGTGGAAAATCCTATGGGAAGGAGATGATCTGAAGCAGACCATCATTGTCAACATGGCTCAAAAAGAATTAAATGCAATTAACCTATGGGTCATAACTCTGATATTCAGCACTCTGCCTTATTTTCTGATGAACTTTAAGTAGAAATAAGAATTTTCATTATTTCCAGCTTTTTAAAGTTCCTTTTTGTCCCACAGTTATACTGTGACCAAGAACACAAACATACCCAGACCATGTGATGCACTGTGTAGATATCACTGTTTCCCATGTACACCCTAATGGCACGAAGTGTAAATCCGTATTTCTTTCCAGCTCGGTGGATTATGATCGGTGGTTTAGGATTCATGACAGCAGGGGAAAAATCTCGACTTGGAGATGAGTCTCTCGAAGATGGGTTGGAAGACAGAGAATGAGGCGACATTGGACTAGCCAATGGAGAACACGTATGATGCTCTAGGTGAAATTACAGAAGCATTTCAAATGTCTGACTTTCAAGGAAAAATACAATTAGCATTATGAAGGAAAATTAAGTATCTCAATTATGTAAGTCTAGTAACCTGCATTTAAAAATGCATAGCAACAATTATTCCCTATTCTCTTGACCACAGAAGGTGTTCTGACAGAAAATCAGAGAAATTCAAACTTAGTTCTGTGCCTTGCTTGTCACAGCTAAGCTAGCTAAATAATATGCTTCAATGAAAACTAGACTGTAATTTATCTGTAAATATGTGTGCAAAATATTTTAATGTTTCCAATTTTAAGCAGGTTAATGATTTTTTTTTTCTTCTATAAATATATGCATGACAGAACAACCTATTGTAGATACACCACCCTGGGCTGCTGGGTAGCTTGTTGTCCACAAACAGCCCATTCTGGGGAAATTGTTCAGGGTTTGCATGTCATAACAACCCATGATGGTTAGCAACTAGGGATATGCCAAGCCTATCCAGAAACCAGTTCACACCTGTCCATTGGATTTCTTTCATTGTTCATCCCTTTCTAAGGCAGAGAGCTGAGCCCAGAAGGAGTCTGCAAGAATCTATGGACCCCCAATTGTACAAACAGGAACATTCCCCAGCCACCATTCCCAGTAGCCAACCTCCTGCTCCTGCTGGCAGCAGTGTGCAGGGAAAGGGGGCAGAGTGAGCTGGCATGCTGGGTACCATTCCTGGCTACCATCCTCTCTCCTTGCTTGCTGCCAGTGTGGGGAAAGGGGGCACCAGGTGCCATTTCCAGTGGCCAATCACAGCACTGCTTGTGCAGAATGTGGAGCTTGATTTCTGGTCAGCATCCCATGAACCCTGGGAGTGCTTGCCAGGAACTTGGACTCTGGGCTGCTGCAAAGCTGACTGGAGTCTGGAAAGTTGGAACTAGGGAATCCAGCGGATTTCCCACCCCAAATTGATTCCTCACACATCCCTAGCAACCCATGAGACCTTGCTTTGTCATGCAAACTGAGTCTTATAGTGACATGCAAACCTGCCCAATGTTGGAAAGAGGTTGCTGAATTAGACAGGCACAGGTTTGGCCTAGCCTTGGTTTGATCCAGCATTTTTAATCACTGAGAACATGAAAAAACCAATAATTTACTCTACTTTCACTTATAGTGGAATTCAACCACAGCTTGAACTAGAAGTAAATACATACAGGAAGCAGGAAGAGATCCTTGAGAACCATCATGAGAGGTTACAGTTAAACAGACCTGCTTAGAGCCATATGCAAATCCATGGCAGCTGGGATTTCTATTTCTATAGGCCACTGTTTCAAATGCTATGTTGCATCTTAGCTGTGCATTTCATTCTTGAAAATGTAAATGTCTACTATGCTAACTGGCAGCTAACCGGCAGCCAGACATCTACATTTTCTTTATGCCTGTAACTTTAATATGCTGCAGCATACATCTACTACATAATCCTTGGAACAGTTTTAAACCAAACAACATGGGTTGTCAGGAAACTAATACCGTAAGTTATAGTGGTTCTAATAAAAGGCAAATAAGTGGGTCACATCAAATCAAACCAGAACTTTCCTAGAAGGAAAATGACAAAAAATGAGGCTGCCATATTTTCGGAACATCATGAGAACATAAAACTCCCTGGAGAAGACAATCATGCTAGGGAAAGTTAAAGGCAAAAGAAGAAAAGGAAGACCAAATATGCAGTGGAGTGACTCCATAAACGAGGTCACAGCCTTGAAGTGATAGAAGCTGAGTGGGGCTGTCATGGATAGGGCATTTTGGAGGGCTTGCATTCACAGGATCACCCTTAGAGATGACTTGATGGTATGTAACAATGTAACAATGAAATCTTCACAATGAAATCACAGTCCCACAGTATAGCATGGTTCTCTGAACAAAGATAAAACTATAAAAGAATTAGTTTTCTTAGTTCTTAAAAAGCAATTTTTAAAAATGCACATATTTTAGTTGTATCTTACCTGAGGGAATTAGGAGAGAGAGGGCAGTGGCTGATGCTGACTTAATCACTTTATTGACAGGTCGTGAAGTCCGTTTTTCCCCTGACTCACCAGAGAGTAACCTATGTCGGGCTCGGCGGACTGCCAAATCACTTGTGGCTTTTGGAGTAGTAAATTCTGGGCCCTCATTGCTATTACTGTGAGTGTGCTGATCAGAGAAGTCTGCAATGCTCCCAGCTAAAGTGTCAATTAAAATAGATTAGAACCACAGGGAGTTTCTAACAGACTGTTCTCCTGCAGGCGCATATATGAAATCAAAGGCATGTTTATAACACAGTCCAACAATGTGCTTTCCTCAGAAGCAAACCCAGACCCTGAAGACATACTTACAGATTCATTTAACTAGGGATGATATGATATCAACAAAATTATCAGCTTTCCTTTTGCTATAGAAACAACCACAATATAATTAAGCTAAAAATATCAAAAATCCCTGAATAAAGTTAGCCTTGCTACAGTATGGAAATTTGTACAAGTTTGAAATGGGGTGGGGCTTGTTAGACAGGAAGGCAAGAATGTAAAGCCTGAGAAAGGCACCTCTTACTGTTTTTTCCTTTTCAGAAACTACAAACTGCCTACAAGTTCTAGAAAAGAAGTAGTGCAACCCAAACAGAATGTATGAGATGTTTTGTTTATGGAATTCCTTGTTGAAGAAGCCTCTCTGTCATTCTTCTGACAGAAGTATTTTGGCATACAAGGTCGTATGCTATTGAAGGCTTTTTTAAATAGGTGTTTTTATGCTATGTCTGAATCAACATTTTGTTTAATTATTGTTAGCTATCTTTAGTGCCAGTCTTTGGCACCAAGATGGGATATCAAACAAATAAATGTTATTTGCATGGTCACAATAGAACAGCTCTGGTTGTTCTGTGGAATTGTACAACTTTGAGCAGTAAACAACTGTCTAGTTCAAATAATCTTTCTCACATGTGATAGAGCAGCAGGAGCAAAACATCCTTACTCACTTACTCAGAGACACTGCTCAATATGTGTGCGCATTTATGTGTGAACAGAAGTGTGTCCATCAGCTGGACCTCTCAGTGGCTTTTGATACTGGATAGGCTAGGCGGGTGAGGAGTTGAAAATAGAGCTGCCAGGTTACTGATGGGGACCAGTAGTTATTTTCATATAACGCCGGTCCTTTATCAGCTACACTGGATCCCAACTGAAGTCCGGGCCCAATTCAAGGTGCTGGTATTAACCTATAAAACCCTAAACGGTTTAGGTCCAGAATACCTGAAGGATCGCCTCCTTCCATATAAGCCCTCATGCCCCTTAAGATCGGCGGGGGAATGCTTGCTCCGGGAACCCTCTATGAAGGAAGTACAGAGGGTGTCTTACCCGAAGGGCCTTCTCCGCACTGGAATCTGCTCCCCAGAGAGGTCTGCCTGGCGCTGACATTATACTCTTTCTGGCGCCAGGTAAAGACCTTTTTATTCGACCATTATTATAATTACCAACAGTTTTAGATGTTTTAGGATTTTCCCTTCACAGTCGCACTTTCTATTTTTTCCTCCTTTTTCTTAAGTTCACAATGTGTTTTATACTGTTCTAATAATTGATGTTTTATATTGTATTTTTACATTTTACATTGTGCTTTTATATTTTGTAAGCTGTCCTGAGCGCTTGGCGACAGGACGGGATATAAATGTCTGAAATAAATAAATAAATAAAGAAAGAAAGAAAGAAAGAAAGAAAGTTTGAATATGGCTTATCCACATAAGTGGGCATAGTCCCCAACTCTTTGTTGGTTTCCAGACTGCACATGCAGTATCAAGCACACTGCTCAGCTCTACATGAGCTAAATATCATGTACATATAGTGCCTTGTAGCATGAACTGCCTGCTCCACTTTGACTTTTTCACGTTTTGTCCTGTTATAACCCAGAACTGAAATGGATTTTAAATTACATTATTACCACATGATGTATGAAAGATACCCAACACTGAAGATGCAAAATATTTCTATTGTGACATAAAAGTTAAAGAAACATTTTGGCCTTGCTGCTTATTTCCCTGAGAACATTCTTCCTTTAGGATGCATCATGTTGTGGGGATGATTTTCCTCAGCAGGGACTGGAAAACTAGTTAAGGGTATGATGGAGCTAAAACAGGGCAAAAAACTATCACATTTTCCAGAGGTGTGCAATTCTGACTATCCCAAATACACAGTCTTCACATATCAATGCCCCTGGATGGTATCAAAAAAGTTGTGCTAACTATAAAAGGTGTTTTGGCCACAACAGGAAGATGGGTTTAGGCAGGTCCTGTTGTGGAGACCCTGGAATGCCTATAGGTGGACCAAGCAGGGGAAGAAAGAGGAGCTAACCAATTCAGGAACCCAAAAATCTGTTTCACAGGCAAGTTACACTACCTAGCTTATTTGTGGGGTGGGTTGTAGCGTCAAGTGAACATTAGGTAAAGGTAAAGGTTTCCCCATGACAATAAATCAAATCATGTTTGACTCTAGGGGTTAGTGCTCATCTCCGTTTCTTAGCCATGGGACTCAGTGTTTGTCTATAGACATTTTTTGTGGTCAGGTGGCCAGCAGGACTAAACGCCAAGGCACACTGAATACTAATGCATGTCATGAGCGGAGCTGGCTGGAGCTGGGGGTCAGACTCAATGGCTTGGGAGGCCCCTTCTGACTCGCTCAGCTTCTGTTTCTATTACCTTCCCACTGAAGTGGTACCTATTTAACTACTTGCATTTGCACGCTTTTGAACTGTTCGGTCGGCAATAGCTAGAATAAAGCAACAGGAGCTCACCCCATCATGCAGATTCGAACTGCCGCCCTTTTGAGCAACAAGCCCAGCACCTAAGCAGTTTACACCACTGCATCCCCTCCCAAGTGAACATTACCACTAGCATAATTCATTATGTACGGCAATACTTCTATCTCCAAAGACATGTACCTGTCACTGTTGAGCTGCTCACATTACTGACAGTTGAAGAGGGTGTTTTTAGTTCTTCTTCATCATCATCAAGGTGCAGTTCTCGCTCTACAGGCTGTTCTGGAATTGGAAGGGGAAGACCTTCCCGTGGCTGTTGCAAAGGCAGTGATGTCCCATCCAGCTGTTTCTTTTTCCCTTCTTCCTCAGCTGAAATGGCAAAACGGGGCATGTCGAGAAGACCAGAACAACGCCGACGGACAGTCAGTGGTGGGCTGGAGTCACTCTCTGTATGAGAGGATTCAGATACTGAGATGTGCTTACGCAGTCTGAAGGGAAAGAACAGTAAATGTTGCCATCAATTTACTTTCGTTATGAAGTCAGAGATTACATGAGGAAATGATGTATGGGCACACGTATGTGCGTGCACGTACACACACACAACCCCACAGTGGGCAATCTGTTTGGAATAAGTGAGGTGAGGAAAGGGCAAGGAAAGAAAACCAAACCCTGGATGGATTTTATCCTTTTTAAAGTTACAGACACTTGCAACTAGGCCAAGGCAATTTTGTGTTTTCATCTGTTTAATCAAATATTGTATTTTAGTCAAGAAAGAACTAAAATCAGCCAGCTTGAAAAGACTGGAGCACCACTATTATAAAATCCTTCTCTCTCAACTTACTTAATGTATCAAAATATTTAAACTCATGTGGTCCAGAGTGCTACAGTGATTACAGTGCTGGACTGGGACTCAGGAAATCTCTACTCAGCCATGACGCTCACTGGATAATGTTGAGCCAGTCACTCTCAGCATAACCTACCTCACAGGATTTTTGTGAGGATATAACAGAGAGGAGGAATACATAAGCTTCCCTGGGTTCCTTGCAGAAGCGAAGATGGAATGTAAATATAATAAACAAACAAGACATACGTCTGTCGCAGGGAGCTGTAGTTTGTTTCTGCTTCTTGTTTCATTATACCAAAGCCAAACTATAAGTGGACTTTTTACTTTCTTTTCTTAAATAAACTTTCAGAAAGCTGGCATTATACTGAAATATTAATAATTAGCAGTTATTATATAGCATGCTTTCAGTGTTGTACTTTATAATGTCTCAGTGATCCTTTTAAGCTAGTAAAAATAACAAGGACTCTTGTGGAAACTTAAAGATTAACATATTTAAATAAAGTGTGTTAAGCTCACATTTCAGGAGACCCAATCACCCAGCTGCGGTCTCGATTCTTCAAACCACCAAGACTATCCAGTCTGTCATCCTTTTCCTCACTCAAGCTGCGCTTTGTGGGTGGTGGTGTTTTTCTTTCTTCATGGATAGAAAGACGTTCCATACTGCTATATACCTACACGTATCATACAACTGTATATTAACATGTTAAAAGGCAGTGCTATGCTCTTTAAATCACAGGATATTTCAGGGTTAAAACTAAAAAGTGGGATTTGGTGATGGTCTTTTATTAGTTTCTGCAAGCAACAAAAAGACGATGGCACCTCATAACTTGCTCAAAAGGGAGAAAAAAAAGCAACAGTAGTTGGTCTTCTTTGCCTACCTTGGAAATTTATTGTTGTAAAGGCCTGTTTAATATTAGCATTGATATTAGAAAGTGAAGTTTCACTATTTTAATGCTGAATGTAGGTCAACTTGGCCACATTTTTAAGTAAACATATAAGCTATTTCTAAAACTCCTATAGTACAAGCTTAACCCAGAGAGATTTGTTTAAAAACAATGAAAAAGAAAAAAAACCTCCTAGCCCCTACTGATTAATTTGCTTAGTCAATCACCTCAACTGCTTTACAATGATTATGTTAAATCATTGAACAGTTAACAGGAGGGGAGAAAAGGAATCCATGTTTATAAGCTGAGCTCAACTGAGAGCCTGATTTGAATATGAAACTGATGAAAATAGCGTTATTAAAAATTTACAACATCAACAGGATAGCTATTAATAAATTATCCAGCTGAATTGTCAGACAAGACTTTCAAACTATAATGAGCCTTTCATGCCACCCACACTATGAATGCAGTATTTTTTTTTCAAAGCTTTGAATACAGGCTTTGCCTAACCATCACATTTTTTCTTATTATCATTCCTCCCACCCCATACTGTAAGGTGCTAGTTCAAATCTATACTTCCTTCTTTGCCCCATTACTGAGTGGCCAGGATTGGCACTCAAGTTTTACACTCTTTTTGCATGGACATTTGTCTCTCATTAAAGTGGTACTAGCTTCCCCACAATGCCTCTAATATTTGCAAGGTATTTGTCCAGTGATCCAAATCCTGATCATTCTTAGCTGCCACTTTCATTATCCATTTTTTCCTCACATTGTTGTTGTTGTTAGTCGCAATGTCGTGTCCGACCCATCACGACCCCATGGACAACATTCCTCCAGGCCTGTCCTCCACTATCCCCCGGAGTCACTAAGGCTCACGCCGACTGCTTCAGTGACTCCATCTAGCCACCTCATTCTCTACTGTCACCTTCTTCTTTTGCCTTCAATCGTTCCCAGCATTAGGTTCTTCTCCAGGGAGTCCTTCCTTCTCATTAGGTGGCCAAAGTACTTTGAGTTTCATCATCAGTATCTGGCCTTCCAAAGAGCAGTCAGGGTTGATCTCCTCTAGGATTTCAACCCTAGGTTTGATCGCCTTGTGGTCCAAGGGATTCCCAGCACCACAGTTTAAAGGCATCAATTCTTCGGCGCTCAGCCTTCCTTATGGTCCAGCTTTCACAGCCATACATTGCAACTGGGAAAACCATAGCCTTGACTATACGCACTTTTGTCAGCAGAGTGATGTCTCTGCTTTTTAGTATGCTGTCTAGATTTGCCATTGCTTTCCTCCCCAGGAGCAAGCGTCTTTTAATTTCTTGACTGCAATTCCTGTCTGCGGTGATCTTGGAGCCCAGGAAAATAAAATCTGTCACTACCTCCATTTCTTCCCCATCTATTTGCCCAGAAGTGAGAGGACCGGATGCCATGATCTTAGTTTTCTTAATGTTGAATTTCAAGCCAACTTTTGTGCTCTCCTCCTTCACCCGCATCAAGAGGCTCTTTAGTTCCTCTCACTTTCTGCCATCACAGTGGTATCATCTGCATATCTGAGGTTGTTGATATTTCTTCCAGCAATCTTAATTCCAACTTGTGATTCATCTAGCCCCACCTTTCTCATGATGTGCTCTGCATATAAATGAAATAGGCAGGGCGACAGTATACAGCCTTGCCAAATTCCTTTCTCAATTTTTAACCAATCAGTGGTTCCGTGTCCAGCTCTCACTGTTGCTTCTTGACCCACACATAGGTTTCTCAAGAGACAAATAAGAAGGTCTGGTACTCCCATCTCTTTAAGAACTCGCCACGATTAGTTGTGATCCACACAATCAAAGGCTTTAGCACAGTCAATGAAGTAGATGTTTTCTGGAACTCCCTAGTTTTCTCCATGATCCAGCCTATGTTGGCAATTGGATCTCTAGTTTCTCTGCCTCTTCGAAATCCTGCCTGTACTTCTGGAAGTTCTTGGTCCACATAACTGCTGGAGCCTAGCTTGCAGGATTTTGAGCATAACTTTGCTAGCACGTGAAATGAGTGCAATGGTGCAGTAATTTGAACATTCTTTGGCATTGTCCTTCTTTGGGATCAGAATGTAAACTGATCTTTTCCAAACCTGTGGCCACTGCTGAGTTTTCCAAATTTGCTGGCATATTGAGTATAGCACTTTTAAGGCATCGTCTTTTAGGATTTTAAATAGCTCAACTGGAATACTGTCACCTCCACTAGCTTTGTTGTTGCTCAGACTTCCTAAGGCCCATTTGACTTCACATTCCAGGATGTCTGGTTCGAGGTCAGTGACCAACCCATCGTGGTTATCAGGGACGTTAAGCTCTTTCTTGTATAGTTCTTCTGTGTAATCTTGCCACCTCTTCTTAATCTCTTCTGCCTCTGTTAGGTCCCTGTCATTCTGGTCCTTTATCATGCCCATCTTTGCATGAAACGTTCCCTTCATAACTCCAATTTTCTTGAAGAGATCTCTGGTCCTCCCTATGCTATTGTTTTCTTCTATTTCTTTGCACTGTTCATTAAAGAAGACATTCTTATCTCTTCTAGCTATTCTCTGGAATTCTGCACTCAATTGGGCGTATCTTTCTCCCTTGCCTTTCGCTTCCCTTCTCTCCTCAGCTATTTGTAAAGCTTCCTCAGACAGCCACTTTGCTTTCTTGCATTTTTCTTTGGAATGGTTTTAGTTGCTACCTCTTGTACAATGTTGCGAACCTCCATCCATAGTTCTTCAGGCACTTTGTCTATCAGATCTAATTCCTTAAATCTATTTGTCACCTCTACTGTATATTCATCAGGGATATGATTTAGGTCATACCTGAGTGGCCTAGTGCTTTTCCCTACTCTCTTCAATTTAAGCCTAAATTTTGCAACCAGAAGCTCATGATCTGAGCCACTGTCAGCTTCTGGTCTTGCTTTTACTGACTGCATAGAGCTTCGCCATCTTTGGCTGCAGAACACATAATCAAATTGATTTCTGTTTTGACCATCTCGTGATGTTCATGTGTAGAGTCGTTTCTTGGGTTGTTGTAAAAGAATGCTTGCTATGACCATCGTATTCTCTTGACAAAATTCTACCAGCCTGTGCCCTGCTTCATTTTGTACTCCAAAGCCAAACTTTCCTGTTATTCCGGTTCTCTTTTGGCTTCCTACTTTAGCATTCCAATCCCCCATGATGATAAGGTCATCATTTTTGGTGTTAGTTCTAGAAGGTGTTGTAGGCCTTCATAGAACCAGTCAACTTCAGCCTCTTCAGCACCAGTGGTTGGGGCATAGACATGGGCTACTGTGATGTTGAATGGTTTGCCTTGGATTCGAACTGAGATCATTCTGTCATTTTGGAGATTGTATCCCAGTACTGTTTTTTGTACTCTTTTATTGACTATGAAGGCTATTCCATTTCTTCTGAGGGATTGCCCGCAGTAGTATACCTGATGGTCATCTGAATTAAATTCACCCATTCCTGTCCATTTCAGTTCACCGATTCCTAAGATGTCGATGTTCAGTCTTGTCATCTCATTTTTGACCACGTCCAGCTTGCCTTGATTCATAGGTGTTACATTCCAGGTTCCTATGGAGTATAGATCTTTACAGCATCGGACTCTCCTTTCACCACCAGATACATCTGCAACTGAGCGTCCTTTCAGCTTTGACCCAGTCACTTCATTCTTTCTGGCGCTACTAGTACTAGCCCTCTACTCTTCCCCAGTAGCATACTGGACACCTTCTGACCTTAGGGGCTCATCTTCCAGCATTGTATCTTTTTGCCTTTTGGTACTGTCCATTGGGTTTTCATGGCAAAGATACTGGACTGGGTTGCCATTTCCTTCTCCAGTGCATCACGTTTTGTCAGAGCTCTCTGCTATGACCTGTCTGTCTTGGGTGGCCCTGCATAGCATAGCTCATAGCTTCATTGAGCTACGCAAGCCCCTTCACCATGACAAGGCAGTGATCCATGATTCCACACATTACTAAAAGTGATTTGGTGAAGATTCACCACATGTTATCTAATTTTTTATGCAAGGTTACCAAAAGGTGGAACTTTGAATGTATAAATTACATGCACAGATAAGTAGTATAAGAGACTGAAAAGAAAAAAGAAATTTAATAAGATGAGTTGGTACATCTATACCCTTTGAAAAGTATGAGAACATGCTCTTGTAAGCTACAGAACCTACAGTGTAAGCTGATGCAAGCCAGAAGTTGCTGCTCATTATCCATTGCTACAGGGAAAATAAAACAAATACTTATAATTTACCAAAAATAAAATCTTTTAGCATCCCAACAAATTACCAAGCATGATTTCATGTTTTCCCTTACAATTTAAATTAGAATCAACTCCCCTGTAATTACCAGAGCTATTATAAAGCCATTGTGACTGCAGAGGGTGCAAGTACAAAGAGATATAAATACACTGCGTTTTCACAAAATGTATTTTGTTTTATGGAATGAGCACACACTTGAAAACCCTGGAACTGAGCAGGGTTTTTTTCCCAATTAAAAACATTATTAGTAGTCCCTTTTGTATAGCTGCTACTGCACAAGGTTTGCTTGGTTGTTTGTTTTGCCCTATCTTAGATATGATTTTGGAACTGTCAAATACATGGTTCACTGCATAAGACTCATCAAAGAAGCTGCATTAAGAACACTTTAATGCAGCTAAAATCCTAAAGTCACAATTGTAGCAAACCTATATATAGCCTAAAGGATACATTTTGTACCAGGCCATGGTAAATGTGAGAAGTCATTTGGAGATTCTCCTGTTCATTTTGCTCAGGGGAACCCTTAATTTCTTTTCCATTATTATGCTCTGAGAACCCTACTGGGACCAGTTTTACATTCTCATCTTGCTTACTATGTTTAACATTAGCAAGTGACTGTCAGTAGGCTTTCCTGCTTGGTCTGCCCTACATATTTAGCTTACCTGGTCCTAATTAACAATGCATATTTGCTACTTTATCTTTCAGGGTTAATTTTTTTCAAGGTTAACTCAGGATGTCTTTGGAAGCTCTAATTTTCTAAGTGTGCCTCTGAAGTTACTGAAGTTGGGGTATTAAGTTGGATTTTAAAATCCAATAGAATATTTCAGGAACATTTCACTTGTCTTTTAGTACTGCTGCTCAGCAACATCAATGATGTGCTAGTATATTTCCTGTTTGTACCTTACATCTTCCTTGAGTATATTTCCAAAAACAGTCCTATTTATAAAGACTATTTATGATGAACACTCAAAAACTGTGTGAAATCTCTGACAATTCTACCACCACCTATCCAAGTTAATATTTACAAGTAGACAGCTGTTGCACATATAACAAGCTCAATCATTGTGGCTTGTTTTAGCCATGATATTTGCATAATTACTCACCTGGGTGCAATTTGTTGTACAGTATGGCTTTCTGAAGAAAGAAACAACCCTCAACCCATGGGCTGTTGGGTTATTTGAAGGTTTTTCCCCCCTCTAACAAGCCATGCCACCCAGGAACATGCTTTACCTGGACAACAAGCAGAGTTTGGCACATGCCAATAAATACAGTGGCTTAAACAAGCACCCACTGTGATGTGTAAGATCACAGTGATTGTGTGAATCTGGTCACAGCCTCCTATAAAACCTACCTGCAGTGCAGACTAAAGATCATGTAGTCCTTCATGCTCTTTTGACCACAACTGACAGCAAGATCTATTTATTCAGCAACCCCACATACCTTGCTAAACCTTGGTGAACATGATGAAAATTGCCTAATTTCCACATGATCATCATCATTTGTGTCATCTTCTTCTTCAGAATCTAAATGCTGATACCGCTCAGTACGAGCTGCAAACAAGAACACAGATTTAAGAACATAGATTTATACTCAAGTATCCACATGAGGATGGAACAGTTGGTGCTCTCTGTAATTATCAACAATGATCCAATATGGGATCAGGGACTTTCCTAAGGTTCACTAATTAAAATAAGGGAAAACAACTGGACTTGAATCTTAGATAATAGTCAGTTTTGTTCTTCATTAACCATTTTTGGTCTGGCTATTAAACTACCCAAAGATATGAAAATGAATCACCAAGATACTTTCCTAACTTTTAAAATCAAGTGAAAATATAGACAATTCTCCTCAGAACACTGGGAAAAAATATAAAAAAAACCATGCACATGCAAAACATGAGCATGTTTCATCTATACATAATCATGGTTACTAATCCATCATGAATGTGGAGTCATACATGGATTCAAGTTATTTGGATGCTTTTTGCTATCACAAGGATACTTGAGGCAACTTTTTGTTATCCTTCTATTACTGTGGGTGAATAAAACCCTATTTTCTTTTATTTTCTATAATACTTATATTCTCCAAGTAGCACAGACAAAAATGCACTCAATTCATCCTGGGAAACAGAACACAGGAATGGGATTGTGCAGGACACTTTCTATCACACCATGTAACTGGTATGCATTGGAATCAGAGCTTCTCTTAAAAGAAGTTCACTCGTGTTTGATTGTTTTCATAGCTATGATGGAACTTAATTCATATAAACAGCAGTCTAGAATGCACAAGCAGGTCCACTTCTTCCTCTGTTTTTAAAAGTCATTACTACAAATGACATCTCAAATTCAAGAATATAGGCAAAAGATAACTCATGCAGTTGTTTTAATTGACCTGTTTTATGTATATGCTATATGTTTCTTCCTTTTTTTTTTGTTAGCCTTCAACAATCAACTATTTGCTATACAGAGCATTCCTATTCTATAAGCAAAGCTAGAAAGAAAACCTGTATCTGTAATTTATTCAAGGCTTTTCTTTAGTTGGAGCCTTGAAGAGATTAACCAGAAAGTACCTCTGTAATAAGATCATAAGGCCAAAAACTTGCAATTTATTTTATTATGATGTTTAAACACATTTAGATCAATTTGTGTAAAAGATTGTTCTTAACCTGTCTTTGCACTCCTCACTCTAATTTCTTATTCATGTTTCTAACCCGTTTCCCATGCATAAGTTTTTACTTTTATATCAATTCTAGTAAAATATATTTTCTTTAATTGTTAACTAAACCTTGTCAGAACCTATTTACAAATCTGCCAGAAATGTGTTAATATTTAATACAGAAGCTCAGACTTGCCTAATATTATAGTCCTGCTTAGGAGTTCAAGCCTTAAGCATTTCACAAAGATTCAATGGGAAAGCAGGCATGTACACACTATCACCAACCTACCCCATTGCATTCCAGACAGCCCAGCTTCACCAGCCCCCAAATTTTAGGGATCCACCTCTAAATCAGAGATTTTGCTCTCTCTATATAAGCTTTGTCCAAGAGCTGTGCAGGGTTCTAAACTGTGTAGCCCAAACATATGGAGAATGGTAGAGCTAGGCTGTCAGGAAACTGATGGAAGAAGTAGGGTCAGTGAACATTTACCCCCTCATGTGAAGCGCAGTAGTTTAATGCATTCTGTCTGAAGCTCAAAGTCTGTTCATAGTTCACTTGCAGAGTTCTACTTGTACAAAGAAACTTCCTCCCTCTGAAATCCTCTAGAGCAGATTTTGAGAGCATGGGATGGGCACAGGTCTTCACTTCCCGTTTTGCTGATAGAAACTATTCCATTACCATGATAAACTAACTGGATTTCATCTTCTGTTCACATCTTAATGTACAATAGTAAAACAAATGAGCCCACCATTCTGAATACTAGCTCTAGTTAACTGTGAGCTTAGTTCCTTACTGTCAAAGTAGCTTGTATCATCTTCCGATTCTAACTGTGGAATAAATTCTGCTTTTTGTCGGAGTAATCCATTCCAGTCTAAGTCTTTGAAGAACCTGTGCTGTTTTACTTCAAAAGCACTACCTGAAATGAAAATTGTGTGACAATATCACATTGTAACAAGTACAGCTTAATAGACTGAGCATTAATCTCGACCCTGAAGTCCCAGCATAGTTTTGGCACAGAAATAATGTGGGGGTAGAAGAGACAGTATTGCTTTCAATATTTTCTTGTTACATTTTACCTTTATTACATGCACACTAAGTATGAAAGGACAGAAATCTCCAGGGCTATGTCCTATTTACTCTCAAATACCTGTGCAAACAATTATCTGTGTAAACAATTACTGCAGAGTCCATACAGTGCCCTGCAGAAGTATTTACTTGATTCACCAAGAAGACTTGCAGCTGTAATTTCTGTTGTTGTAACCCACCCTGTGATCTGTGTGGCTAATGGGGCGGGTTAGAAATCAAATAAAAAATGAATGAATGCTGCCAAAAGAGCTTCCACCAATTATTGACTCAGGAAGGGTGAATACCAATGAAAGCCAGATATTTGTTGTTGTTTACTTAATTTTTGTGCCACAATACAAATATTTTGCACCTTCACAGTATTGACTATCTTGCGCACATCCAGTGATAACAATGCCAATTAAATCCTTTTCAATTCCAGGCTGTAACACAACAAAATATGGAGGAGTCAAAAGTGGTGAATATTTCTGCAGGGCATTGAAATATGTCCTCAGGGGAAAAAAAGGAGACTTGGAAAGAACCAATGGAACTGGTGCACTACTGAAGACTGATACAGTCTTACTGCCAGCTAATCTACCGTCCAAAGAGGTTTAAAAATTACGTGTGGCTAATGATGGAACCAACTAGAAGAAACATGGAGTTCATTTGAAGATGCAATGTTGTGATAAAACAAGTTAGGAAATGACAAAAATAATGTATTATCCCCTTGTTCCCCATATTTACTAAAATATTTTTGCCAAGGGATCATTATACCACAGATAGCAGAAACACAGTATCATTGAGAAGATTAATAATATGTTTTCTTCTGCAAATAAGTGGTGTTTAGATGGTGCTCTTTTTTTCTTTTATATGTATTTATGTTTCAATGCCTCTAGAAGTCATTTATTAAAGAAAAACATTTTACCTGTACCCAGTCTTTCCATAGGGTTTTGTCGGAGAAGTTTAGCAATGAGATCCTGTGCTTCTGGTGGCAAAGCTTCATCTCCTTCTGGCCAGACAATTTCATCTATGGAAATTTAATTGATAGAATTAGACAGAGCTCTCATTTCATAGCCTTAATCCAAATTTTGAACAGAATTCTGCTCACAGACTGGGGCTTCCATGCTTCCCCCCACCTATTGCAGCCCTTTGTGTTCAACCAACTGATGCACTACTGACCCTCATTCTCTGAGGGTCCATTAAACTTATGAATGAGGAATGGGCTGCATATAATGGGGAAGATTCTTGTTCTTTGTATTTTTTAATTTTGCAATAAAAAAAACAAAGAAGCTGCACCCGAAATAAAAAGGAAAAACAAAAAATCTAAAATTATCCTTATGTAAATCACTTCTCATCCAGCTTTGTTCTTACTCACTTTGGATCGATACCAGGGTATTAAATATGTCTCACACATACAGATACACAGTTACAACTCTTACACTGTGAAAGAAGACTACATTTACTTAAGTTAACCATTTCCAACCAGCCATAGCCTTTTCTCTTTTTATATAGTTATATTATTATTATTATTAGCTATCAATTGAGTCAACATCTCTTCTCTGCCGAGATCATATACTTGGCATCTCCAGCTAGGAAAATATCATGATTTGAAACAAGCATGTCTAAAGCTGTGATACATACAACCCACTCAACCATTAAAACATTCATGCCAGTTTACAGGCAAGTTATCACTTTTATTTATTTGTTGCATTTGTGTATCACCCAATAGCCTGAGGGCTCTCTAAGCAAAACAATGTGTTGATTACACTGAAAAAAGTGTTAACATTCTCCCAGTTTCTTTGCATAACATGCAGTGCCTTGGATTCAGATATTCATGAATGGAGAACCACTCACAGAAGGTCAGTTTCTTTTCTCTTCCTTTCCAGTTGAGCTGATAGGCAACCTATTCCTACTCCCTGGAAAACTCAGGTTGGGGAACATTCAGGAACAGCATGGGATGCATGAAGTGCTTCCACTCATGCACCCTGCCATTGTATGAAAGACAATTAAAACACATCTAACATAGCATATGGATATTGCTGTTGGTTCTGTTGTTTAAATACGGCACACAGTTTGCTTTAAAGAGAGCTACTGGTAATACAAATAAAGATTCTTCACACATCTCCCTAGAAGTAGGCACACTTAAAAAATTCAGCAGCTATCCAGTTCTGTATGTGAAGTGGGTAGTCAATGCCTCTCTTTTCACCACATATACACAGTAAACATGCACTGAAGGAAGACAGAGCCAGGCATGTACATACTGGGAGAGGAGGAGCAGGTTGCTTACCTGTAACTGATGTTCTTCGAGTGGCCATCTGTGCAGTCACACATATGGGTTCTGTGCCTGCGCAGTGCCTTTGGCCGGAAGATTAACAGCTAATGGTTTTTGGCGGGAACTCCGCTCCCCCCTCAGCATTATATAAGGAGCGGAGTGTCCGCCATTTTCCACTCTTTGAAAGACCGACGTTTGTTCTTATAATAAGGTTTGTCAGTATGACAAGATAGCCAAATTCAGTAGTGGTACAACACATGGCAAAGAGATCATAGTATCGAAAGAAATAGTCGGACCACCCATGACACCAAGCGGGGTCGGAGGGTGGGTTGTGTGACTGCACAGATGGCCACTCAAAGAACATCAGTTACAGGTAAGCAACCTGAGCTTCTTCGTCGTGGCCTCTGTGCATCACACATATGGGTAGAATAACAAGCTTACCCCAAATGGAGGAGGGAGGTGTCATCAGCGAAGGGCAGAAGAAAGGACAGCTCTGCCAAAAGAGTAATCCTGCCTGGCACGGACATCGAGTCTATAATTTCTGGCAAAGGTACACGGGGTAGCCCAAATGGCCGACCTGCACACATCTTCTATTGGGACCCCTGATGCAAAGGCCGAAGAAGCAGCAACAGCTCTTGTAGAATGACCTCTTGGAGTAGATGGCAAGTCCAACTTAGCTAACTGATAAGACAGGACAATTGTATTTACTATCCATTTCGAAAGATGTTGTGAAGTAACTGGACAGCCTCGGTCATGTTTCGAATATTTCACAAAAAGTCTATTGGAATGCCGAACAGACTCAGTCCTGGACCTATAAAAGGCTAAGCAACGACGAACGTCCAGCATATGTAGAGATCGCTCTATCGGATTCAAAGGGGTCGGAAAGAATGCCGGTAAAACAATCTCCTGTTGCATGTGAAATGAAGTAGCGACTTTCAGAAGGAAAGACGGATCCAGCCGAAGAACCACTTTTTCTTTATGAAAATTTAGAAAAGGGGGGTCTACCCAAAGGGCGCAGAGTTCAGAGGATCTACGGGTTGAAGTCACTGCAACAAAGAAGGCAGTCTTCCATGAAGCAAGGCACAGATCAATCGTCGCCTTGGGTTCGAAAGGTGATCAAGTCGGCGCTTGTAAAACCACCAAAAGACTCCAGGTGGGCATTAGAGGTCTTACAGTTGGATGCAGATTACTCAATCCTCTCAAAAATCTTTTAATCAGAGGTTGAGCAAAAATGGAGAGACCATGTATAGTTCCCCGGTAATGTGAAATCGCTGCTGTATAAACTTTTATGAACAAAGGTTTGAGTCCAGACTGATGCAATTCAAAGAGAAACTGAAGTATCTGTGAAACAGAAGCCAAGGGGGCCGGAAACTAGTGTAAATTGGCAAAGTTAGAGAATCTCTGCCATTTTGCCGCGTACGACTTCCTATAGATGGTCTTAGCGCAGATTCGAGAATATACTGTAGGTCTGGGTGTAGACTCTGCTGAGCAGGAATGGCCGGGACGGTTGGTGGTGTCGATACCGATGTATTGCAGCTGGTCATCGTATCCTCCATGCAGTCAGTTTCAGCGACAGCAAGTCTGGGTGGCGGATCGTGCCCTCTCTCTGGGTAACGAGATAAGGAAGAAGAGGGAGTTGGAGAAATTCTTCTTGGGAGACGTGAAGGAGAGTTGAGAACCATGGCTGGCATGGCCACCAGGGGGTGATCAGTAGCCCTGTGGCCCCTTCATGAATGATCTTTACCAACACTCTCATGATGAGTGGGATCGGAGGAAAAGTATAAAAAGTCATATTTGTCCAGGGGATCATGAAAGCGTCCCCGAGTGAGTCCTGACCCATCCCCACTCTGGAACAATAGGCTGTGCATGCCCTGTTCCGTTGTGTGGCAAACAGGTCGATGTCTGGCTGGCCCCATCAGTGAAACAGCATGTCGCGAACCCGATGGTCTAGCTCCCATTTGTGTGACCACAACGTAAGTCTGCTCAAGAGATCCGCGTCTGTATTTTCTGTGCCCACAAGGTGAACTGCTAGAAGAGTGATACCTCTCGGTATGCACCAGTCCCAAATCTGCATGGCCAGGCAGGCTAGTTTCAGGGATTGGGTTCCCCTTTGTTTGTTCAAATAAAAGAACGTCGCCATGTTGTCTGAGGTCACCTGGACGACCTGGTGTAGAAGCACATCCTTGAATGATTGCACGGCTTTGAAAACGGCAAGAAGTTCGAGAAAATTGATATATTTCCTGCAATCCCGGTGACTCCATATCCCCTGGGTATGTAGATCGGAGCAAATTGCTCCCCATCCCAGCAGGGACGCATCGGTGCCAAGGGTTACTGTAGGGTACCGGGGTCGAAACGGAACGCCTACAGTCAGATTGGCTGGGTCTATCCACCATAACAGGGACTGAAGAACGGAAGCCGGGAGTCGAATCCATTTGGTAGGTGGATCTGTCTGTGGTTGAAACATTCCGTTGAAGAACAGTCAAAGGGGACGTAGCCTGAGTTTGGCATGCAGAACCACAGCGATGGAAGCAGACATGTGTCCCAACAGGCTCTGAATAGACCGGGTGGGGATGGTTCTTGCTTGTCGAATCCGAGTGATGCACTGAGCAATCGTATGCCATCTGTCCCAAGGAAGGAAGGCTCTTGCCAAGGTCGAATCCAGCAGGGCTCCGATAAAGTTGATCACCTGCATAGGGAGAAGGGAAGATTTCTGTTGATTAATACAGAGTCCGAGATCGTGCAATAGAGCACATGTAAACTCAACAGCAGACGAAAGTCCTGCTTCTGTGTCGGAGACCAGCAACCAATCATCAAGGTACGGGTATATCCGAATTCCACGTAATCGAAGGTGTGCACAGACAGGAGCCATACACTTCGTAAAAACCCGTGGTGCAGTGGCTAATCCAAACGGTAGCACATTGAATTCGTAGATTTCAGAGTCCACTGCAAAACGAAGGAAACACCTATAACTTGGATGTATTGAAATATGAAAACAGGCATCCTTCAGATCCAATGAGGCGAACCAATCCCCTCTTCCCAGCAACAGGAGAATACTTTGAAGTGTGGTCATCCAAAACTTCTTTGGTGTTATGAATCTATTGAGAGCTCTCAAGTCCAATATTGGTCTGAGACCCCCATCTCATTTCGGGACCGTAAAGTATTTGGAATAGAACCCATGGAATCCCTCCGATAACGACAGGCGACGAATAGCTCCTTTAGCAAGGAGTTGGTGAATCTTGTCTAACAGTACCAGGGAAGTCGGAGTATAGCGGATAGGATTCGGTGATGGCACAACGTCGAATTTGATTCCATATCCGTGCTGAATGATAGATAACACCCACCCATCAGATGTGATGGACTCCCAAATGGAGAGCCGACTCTTCAGTCGATCCCCAAATGAGAGGGGGGAGGGTAGAATTGGAATGAGAGGAGAGGTTCGCTCGTTGCATCAGCGCTGTCGCCTGTCCGTATCAAAGCAGCGGCGGTGGCCCTGTTGGAAGCGCTGGGGTGGTTGGTGCCCATGACGCTGCCGACGTTGATGTGGTTGCTGTTGCTGAGGCGGAAATTGTTGATGGTACTGTGGACGTGACCATGACCACTTACGTCGGGGTAGAGATTGCAATTTCATACGATGGGCCGTCATCCTTGATTCATGGATTTTCTTCAATTTGCTATCTGTCCTCGCATGGAAGAGACTGGAACCGTCGAACGGCATCTCCTCAATTCTCTGCTTCATCTCGTCCGAAAAATTGCAA